TTTTCTCGAGTCTTTGATACAAATTTATCTTAATTGTGGGAAGTATTTTGTACTGACAGGGTAAGGAGAGAGAATATTGCAGGAACCAATATGTCGTGTCAAAAAACTCAGAGGGAAAAACCAGTAGCACTGGACCATTACAAAACCAGTATTTGTTACTGGCACCAGGAGCACTGGTCATCACAGTAGTAGCACTAGATATGGTGTGAATCTGCCTCAGCAAGTTATTATTAAAATATTGTCCTTATTATATGTCACTATAATACAGTTGTTGCCTTGACCGAGACTCCGTGTTTTCCTGGGCTGATCCTTAAAGTCTGCATGGGTGTCTGTGCAGTGGAAGTTGTGTCCGGCAATATCAATTCTGCCATGTATTTAAGAATCTGTAGAGAATTTATATAATACATTATTATAATACATTATCATAATACATTATCAAAGAAAAGTTCACAGCATAAAAAGGCAATTAATTCTACAAGTAAGGAAAAAAAACTCCTGCCACCACATCCCAACTGATAAACATAGCTTACATTCTCAGGTTCCCTTCTCAGGGTCTGTTCAGGTCCAATATTATTTAGACTGTGGACCTGGGCTTGCAACTTGCTGCTCACCTACCTGGGAGCCAATCAAACAACTGTTGGCAAGTGGAAAGCCTTTGTCAATGACAACTGGTCACCATTCCACAGACCAATCAGCTACTTGCTGCCAGCCAAATCTAACTTATTTGCACATTGCCCGGTTCCAGTTCATCTGCAACTAAACCTCCCCCATTGTTTGACAATCAACCGTGTAAATAGAACTTACAATGCATGTTGGCAACTTGCTTTTAAAAAGTGCAGAAGTCATTTCCACAGTCCTTGGTTTTAAAACGCTCCTTTTCCCATTTTAATCCACAACCAAAAATGCAGAAGCATAAAAAGGTATACAATATATTACAGTAGTGGTAAAAGGGATTTTGGTCAAGCAAGGCCAAATGAATTAAATGAGTATAACTTTATATCACTTTCCTTTTGGCAGAGACAGGAGGATCAGGTAGCTCTGCACTATGTTCACACTCCAAACAGTTCCAGGCCCTCCTATAAACTTCCCTACTGCATCCACCTGAGTACCAGAACTTCTCCTTTAGTTAGCATCAGTAACATCCTACCCCTCAATGTGCCCTTCTTCAACAACAACATCTATGAATACAGTCCCTTGCCATTGATAAATGGCACAATGCAGGAGAATTATCAAAGAAATGTTGACACTGAACTATGTAAGTGAACCATATTAAGACAAAAGAGACCAACGTTTGGTCAAAGAGGTGACTTTAAGAAACATGATAATGGAGGAGAAATAGAGAAAGAAATTTAATAAGATGAAGAGCTTTTGGAAAGAAATTCCAGAGCTCACAACCTAGCTGGCTAATGGAACAACCATCAATGACTATGATCATCGGAAATGGACTAATGGTCAGAATTTAAGGAGTGCAAATTTCTTAGAGTTGTAGTTGAATCAGGGCTGGAAGTAGCAACATTAAAGGAAGTGAACTTGACAGTAGTCATAGTGAGGCTACTGGATTGGACCATCAACTTAGGATCAAATATGTTATGAACAGTTTGTTTCAGATTCAGACAGCGGTCAAAGAGAGGAACATCTTCCAACTGGCTATGGCTGAGTGACTGACCAGGAACAGGAAGGTTATGCCTAGGTGTAAAATATACCCCAGCCTCATACAACCAAGTGTGATTTGACTCAGTATCATAAAAATGGAGACTTCTGTCACTAAATTGCATTTCTTTCTGCCCAACAGAATATGTCAGTTTCTTCTTCAAAAGCTATTTCTAGAACAATGCCCTTAGTCTGTATTCAAAAATACATCTGTGAAGAATGCCTTTTTTAACTTTATAATTATTTCTCTATTTGGTGGTGCTTTATTTATGGAGTGGTATTGTTTTACAAAGCAATAAATCCTGTAGCCACTTAGTTTGTAGTGTGTTAGAGTAACCTTGAGTTACATAGAAATATGTGTTGTACAGTACTTACATGTCAAATTTTTACAAAGACTTTAAGAGCTAGTAGTTAAACTGTCCTGAAAATTCACTGCATTCTGCAAAAAAAACAATCTTTTTTTGTTTATAAAATCTGTCTTCCCCACACCCCAAATCCCACTCAATTTGAATCCTCGTTTAATCTGAAAGTTTCAAACAGCACTTTTAAAAGATTAAACACTTAATTCAACAAGTTTATTACAAATGTTTATGTTGAAATCACTTTAGTCTTTGACAGAGAGCTGTGTAAGTGGACTTACCTCTGTTCATTTAGAATCATGTTAAATTTACATTCTTTAAAAAAAAATGGAAGATTGGATTTGATTTTTTTTAATAAAGCAGAGCAAAGTGGCAGGGCCTATTGAAGCCTAACACACTGCCACAGTTTGGTTACTTAGTTTGTTAAATATTAATTGTTAGTTCAGTCCTGTCTATCTCAGACATCCCTACAACTAATTCTTAATTCACGTTACCAATTTAGGCTTATCCTAGAAAGATGAAGGAAAATGAAAGGACTAGTATCCCACATTAATCCTATAATATCTGTTCGCAGCTTCAGAGCAATTTACATGAGTAACCTTTAGTAAATAGATGACTTCCACTGTGAATTTCTACCTTTGTTTCTTCTTTCAAGATATTGCTTCTCTCTTTCTTGAAGGTACTGACTATGGTTAGTGTAGGGTTTGACTGATGCCAGATGTCCCCTTCAGTACTTTAAGAATCGAGGACAGAAATCTAAGCTGATGCTGCAGTGTTGTACTGAGGGAGTGCTGCACAAGTGGAGGTGCCTTTTTTTTTGCATGAGAGATTAATACAAGGGTCTGTGTGCTCTCTCAAGTAGATGCATGCTATATTGTGGTGTTATTATGAGGAAAATAGGAGTGATTCTGGGTGCTGGCCACTATTTATCCCTTAAAACATTACAAAAAGAAATGAATCTGGTCATTATCCTCTTGTAAATGGCACGTTGCTACATTCAACTTAGCTGCCTTTCCCTATACCAGTAGCTATACTTCGCGAATACTTCATTGGTTGTAAAGTATTTGGGATTTCCTGAAGCTGCTTTTCATGTTTGAGCATAGATAGTTGTTGCTAGCCAGTTACTAGAGTCAAACTGTTTCAGCCATCGTGAATTGTATCTGTACCATATCTCTTAGCAGCGGGAATTTTGGCATAGTCCCTCAACTCTCCCACTGAGTGCAAAGATAATGCACTTAATATCATTCAAGTTATGATTGACAATGTTAACGGAGACTAGTGATTTAATTTGAACATTCCTTTGTCTGAGTTACCAATTTAAAAAATCTCCTACTCTTAGCATGACTTTTGATGATCTAAGAGAAAGAAGATCTAATAGAAGCAGATTTGCAGTTAGGCAGAGTAACCTGTGCGTACACCACAATATGTCAGCATAATGTGACAAGATACAGGTTTGTCTCACTCTCATCTAGGTCTCCGTCAGCAAAGAGTAAAAGGACGGGAGCAAAACCCATGCTGCTGTCAGTGAGCACCTAACAGTTAGTCACACAGAAGGAATCGCCTTTGTTAGACAACTGACAGCAAATTATCAATGAACCAGGAGAAAAATAATGACAATTAACTCATAAGTGAAAATATGCAACCCAAAGATGAGTGCAGCACATGTAGTAGTTAAAATTAAATTACCCGCGCTTGTTATTTTGTCATTATATTTTGAACAAATGTGCTGATGAGTACCTAAATCTAGACTTCAATCAGCTTTAACCTGGAGGTTTCATCATTAAAGCATCCATCACAATGCACACAAACCCATGCCAAACCCGAATTTAGTTACTTCAATTGAGGTTGACTAATGCAGGGCTTTGCTTCGTGTGGGTTTGAATTGAGCAGAAAAATAAGACCACCCTTGAGTTGGGTCAGTTTCTTTTTGGTACAACAGACTGGGAATGTTAGTGCGATTGGCACAGTTTGACTTAGAGGCTGGTCCTCACTAGTGTGAAATGACGGGTGAGTATGAAAATGTTAGTTTAGAAGGTTTATCTTGCTCTGCATACAGACAGCCCCTGTGTGCTGCATGGACAAGTTTCCTTCTCTTCTCCATCAATCAGTATTCTTGGATAGTCCTGTCAGAGCCTCATACACAGGTAGCAGTTTCCTGTTGGTTTGTACCTCCCCCCAGTGGAATATTGAGAAAATGCATTTCATGATTTTGGCATCAGAGAGCAAAGATTTGCAAATGCCCTTTAAAAAGTCAACTTACAAGGGCGACTTCCAATGTTTCTCTGGGAAGTTATCAGCTGAGTATAAAGAATGAATGTTAATGAAGTTCAGAAAGAGGAGAGCATTGTTGAGAATGCTGCAAAAAATTCACATTCTGCATGTTGATTCTCCACACATAGAAGAAACATCCTTTGCAAGATAAATTAAGTGGAGCCATAACTCATCTTCACTTCATCCTCCATACTCTCCACCTGAATTCTCCTATCCAACACCATTGTGCTTACAGATGTTGCTTGTCAGGTGTCTAAAACAAAATGTACTTAAAATCCCCCCAAAAATAACATGTATAATGATATAATTGTAACAAACTTTTTTTTTCAAAAACGTTGCTAAACAGCCTTTTCTGTGGCTTGAAAACTGTCAAATGTTTTCCACCCACTTCCCCTCCCACACTGGACTGGTTTTAGGGTGGAAGGTACTGCAAGATTTTTGTAAATGAGAACATTTCAGTAGGGGGTGAATTGCTACAAAAGACAGTTTACTTTATGTTATTGGATTGGCTTTCTTTGTAAGTTTATCACGCAATGTTCTAACTATTGTGTTGACACACAAAAGACAAGATTTTGTTTTGAAGTACCGCACAGGGTAGTGTGGATTAATGAATTGCTAGATACTGAGTGAAAGGCAAGTACAGAAAGAACCTCTGCATTTTGTATTAATATTGTTTTGTACACAGTTTGGAAAATCTCTGTGTGCCCTTTCTGTTTCCAGGATATTTGGTCACATCAGCTTCCGTTCAGATTGGGAATTGGTAAAGGTGGACTTCAGACCATCCTTTAACAGACAATGCTCACCTGATGATTATGACTCATGGGATCTCATGAACCAGGTATTATAGGCTGAAACAAAAAGAAGCTCAAAAATACTGAAATCTTTGCTGGACACACCTGAAAAGATCATAATCTGGCTTTTCTGTTTCTTTTACGCTGGTTAGCTGACTTGTCTACAACACTTCCCTGTTTTGCTTCAGATTTCTAGACATAGCAATTTTCACATTTTGATCATGTCGAGTTGGTCTATTTGTTCATTATCTTTTCCGACAACAGAGGTTTTCTGCTGCATACAACAGGGAACTTCAGCACCCCTGAGCCATCCCATAACCTATGCTATTATACTTAAATGGTGTGTTAAGCAAGTAGAAAGGCTTTGAAAATCCCATAGGCAGCATAAGAAATGTTACAAAGGAACAAAGGCAGCTTTGAATGTCAATGCAGTATGCCACAAGGTGCTAAATGTCAAGTTTACAATGAGCACTTGTGATTAATTGTGGGCTTATTAGCAAACATTTACCTGCATTTCAATGGAAAGAAAAGACATTTCATACAGCATTATTGCAGGCTGGTGTGCTACTCCTGGCAGCTGAGTGGCTTGGACAGACACTTAGTAACAGGTTCTGCTCATAGCTGTGAGCTGGACCAGGAAAGTAGAAATGAAAATATTGACAATATTCAGGGCATAAGTATGGAGCTGAAATTCTTCCACTATTTTGGCAGATTCCTGCAATTGGATCACAATTTTTGCTGGAATTGCTGAAAGCATCGCAGGATGTGTAGATTCCTGGCTCCTTACAAGACAGAGGATGGGGATGAGGAGGAGGAGGAGGGTGGAACAGGCTTTCGGCCCTAGACTGGAATATGCCATTTAGTGGATCTATTAATCAGCTCACCCTTGTTGCATAACAATAGATTTTAAAAAGCCTATTCCCCAGTTGGTTCCTCAGCATATTTCAGGAATTCTTCCACTACAGCGTTGGTGCTCATTAGTCTATATGTCATAAGTCATATAAGTCATCCTTGATTATTGTATTCCCTCGGTACACACACTTCTAATTTCTTGATTTATGCCATGCCCCACAACTGTCTACACCTACAAACTATGCCTACAAACGTTTACTGCTTTAGATGTTTCTTAGGTCAAGCCAAACAGGTTCTACAACATTTTCTTCTTGTCGGAGATCCTTTCTCAGTAATACGCTGATAGCATCCCTTATTATCAGCACCACACCATCTCCTTTAACTTCTTGCCCATGCTTCCAAAATGTCATATATCTTTTAAAGATCAGCTCCAAATTTTCAAGGCCCTGCAGCCATGTCTCTGTGCTGACTACTAAATCATACTCTTTTACTTCTGTTAGCACCATCAATTCACAGATCTTGCTGTGATTGGTGTGTGCATCCAGATAGACTGCATTTAATTCTGCCTTTTTAATACTATTCTTTAAGTTGATTCAGGCTGATTTGCAGGGTTGTTTCTGTTGTTTTTTAAATTCATTTATAGCTTTCCTACTTTCAGTAACCTGCTTTGCCTTTTTATCCTATCTGAATTCACTGTCAAGTTCCCATCCTCTGATAACCCAGCTTAAATCCTGCCCAACAGCACTAACAAGCCTTCCCAGGTGGATATTAGATAAGACCAGAGGGCAGGAAGCTAGGCCAAGTCAAGGGCAGGGAGAGGCGAGGGCAGGGGGACCCAAAGCCAGGGAGGATGAGGTGTAGGGGTGTCTGGGGGTGTGGGTATGGGGAGGTGTGGAAGAAAGGGTAGAAGGAGGCAAAGTCAGGATAGGGGAATGAAGGAGGAGACATGATCTGGGCTGTGAAGACGATGATAAAGCAGAAACGCCAACTTAATTAGAAGAAACAGACCATCAAAATAAAGCATTGGAAAAAAAATTAACTTAAGCAAGGCAACCTAAAGTGAAGACTTGCTTTATTAACAGAATTATTGTAAAATACATACATTTTTAAATGCAGAAACCTTTCTTAAATTATTTTCCACTGATTGGGTTAGTTCTTGGAAGTTTGGCGATGTGTAAAATTTATTTGAATATAAATTCCAGCAAAAAAAACTTCTGAAAAGTAGCACAAATTTTTTGATCTCAATATGAGCCTAAATTGCCAATTGTGCCCACAACAGAAAAAAAAATTACATTTTAGTAATTTTTGTAAAGCCCAGTAGACACCATTGATAAAATGTATGTGCTGTCCCACTTCTACCCAAGTCAGACCGAAATGCATAGTCGTGAGAAAAGCTGGATTTGTTGCTGTCTTCCTGCCTTTACAGACCAGTCACTTGTGCGTTACAGATTCAACCAGCAACTGTTTACAGCCTGTAGGTCAAACAAGCAGCATTTCAACAAGAACAATAGTTGGCATTAGGCTTGGAGAAGTATTAATTGCAAATTACCCAGATATACCTGTCTTGTAAACTTTGTAAGATTAAGTAAAGGAAATATCACTATTAAAAATGTGCTCTCCCAAATTCTGTAATTTCAAATCATGTTGTCCCATATTTTTGTGGGTCCTGCATTTGAAATTGTAGCCTGCAGCAGGTTCTTGGGAGCCTAGCTTCAGAAGGCAGTCTTTGCTTTCAAGTGCCTTCAAAGGTCTTTGTATCAGCTCTGGCTGAAGCTGCTTGTGGTGTTCCTCGCTTCTGGCATCATTGTAACCTGTAAATGGAATGATAAGAACAGTCATCCCTTCGCTCTCGCTGTCCGATCCCCCAGGCCCTGAGTCTTAATATACGACAGATCCTCGTTATCCAGGGGGATAGGGGCATAGACCTCCTGTGGATAACAAAAAACATGGATACTGCTATAATGTAAGTCTCCTGTCTATGATGAAGGACCACGCAATCAGATGGGATGAGTCAATTGGGAAAAATAGGCTGAGTCTGGGACCAACCTCCTGAGTGCACGGTTCCACAGGTAGAAAATCCATGGATAATGAAGAGTTAGTGTAGCTTTTGAATAGTAGCAGAAAGGTCGGGATAGGGAGAAATCAATCAGTAGCTTTAACCAATGGAGGAGGTGATACATGGGAATCATGCAGTGACATTCTATGAGTTACCACCAAGTGAAAATATTCCAACTTGCCTGCTGTGGGTAATAAAAACATATATTCTTTCTGGATAGATTTGTGTTTTTCCTAACCGAGTGCACAGTGAAATGTCCATCCCCAGTCTACGTGACCAATGTAAATAGAGGGAAGGGTAATTTACCGAATGTACTCCTACAATAGGAGAGACGACAGCCCAGTGGTATTATCGGAGCCCTGTTGATCCAGAAACACGGGTAATGTTCTGGGTACCTGGGTTTGAATCCCACCATGACAGATGGTGGAATTTGAATTCAATACAAAGAAGCTGCTGATGACCATGAATCCATTGCCGACTGTCAGAAAAACCCATCTGGTTCACTAATGTCCTTCAGGGAAAGAAACTGCCAGCCTTATCCAGTCTGGCCTACATGTGACTCCAGGCCCACAACAATTAGGATGAGCTGGCCTAGCCAACGACACCCTCATCCCGTGAATGATTTTTTTTAGAAAGGCACCATTTGATGTTATCATTTTGTTACATGTTCTGTGCAATTTTTGTCAAATTGACAATGAGTTGTTATGATCTGGAATGCACGGCTGGTCTTGTAGGGTTTGTGGAAACAAGTTCAGTAGTATCGTTCCAAACAGAATCGATTCAAATCATGAAGGGAAAATGCACAGTGCTATGGGGATTAAGAGGGGGAATGGGATTAATTAAATAATTGCACCAAAGAGCCAGTGCAGGCACAATGGTATGAGTGGCTACTTTCTGTGCTCTATCATTTTATGGTTCTATAATGTATTAACGTGTACATACTAATCATCAGTATGTTTCTGCTTAGGATAAGCATTGCATCATGGGAGAGCAGAGACAATTCCGTAAACGAAAAACATCCTCATGGTGTATTAAAGGAAAGAACTTCACGTCAGCCCTTACATCAAAACTTTGCCAGTGCACAGAGTTTGATTTTGAGTGGTAATTATCTGTTTCTTTGACAGTTTACCCTGGGGCCTGTCTACTATATTAGAATAACAAATAGCAAGATTAGAAATTGCTTAATATAATCTTAAGAGTTTAAGTACTGAGAAATATTGCAATTCTTGCCTGTTTGGTTTATGCTTTCGTTGTGAACACTAGCCTATGGGTGATATGCGAAAATAAACGTGATGGAAGTAGCTAATAATTACTAGCTTTGAGGAAGGGCAAGAGAGTTTAATCACTGATTACTGTTTACTCTCTGATGTTCCCCAACCTGTTTCATATTTCTTGCATTTTTGGTGTTTTTTAAAAAAAATTTTCACAGATTCGATCCACAATTTTTTTCCCACAGTTGGTGGTATGGTGTTTCTTCAAAATTCTCCCCTCCCTTTTCAATAATTTTGACTTCCAGTTACTCCATAGGCTTAATGAGCTGGGAACCCTGATTTCACCTCCGTCTCCGTGAACCCATTGGATATATTCTAAATTCCGCTCTCATTGAAATCAAATAATTCAGCACAAATTGAAAGTTGAATTACTGAACTTTTAGTTCCGTGAAGCTCATGCTAGGCATAAATTTTTTGTAAAAGACATTATGGGAGTGGAGTTTGTGTAGTTTAGCACTTAGTCATAACATATTGAAACAGTGATGTTGTTCTGAATCATTTGATTAAATATATCCAAAAGATCTGCCTGACAAATCATGTGAGTTCATCACAGAACTACTGTATTTTGTTTCCATCTGACACCAACCTGCATAGAATTAAAAGAGAAAATAATTTGCAGATATTAAATGATGCCTTGCACAGAATGAGCTGAATTTTAAGCATTAACTTGTCTTAATATTGAGATGGTAACAAACTGATGTTCTGTGCAACAGAAATTTGAGGGGGCATTATTTTCTATTTTGAGAATGCTAGTTTGCAAATCTATCCAGCCATTCCTAAGAATTCATGTTCGATGCCATATTGTCAATGCTGTTGCTATTTTGCAACATGCTTCAGGTTTTTGTAATCAAGGCAGTGTGATTTTCATAGAGTTGCTGAATATACATTTGCAATCAAGCTGCATTGACATCATGAAGCTACAAGGACCTTGCAAAGCATTTGGTAAATGCACAATTTTTTTTACTGCCGGTATTATCATCAGGTAAACATACAGTGATTGCATTCAATTGTTTCTTCAGTGTAGGAATTAAAATGAATCAACCACATTTTGTATTATATACACACATATCGACTTATACAGCCACAAAATGCAATATATGAAAATAAGCCAGACATGATCATTTACTAAGTAGAGATAAGCTTGGAAATCAACTTCAAAGTCTACTCCCGATAATTAGACCAGGCACATGCTTACCACTGTGGAGCATTGACAAGGTAAATCAAGTTACAGTAATTCGATGCCTTAATAAGGAATTTCTACTTCATTGTATAACACCCAGTCTAGTGGGGAGTTCCTTTAATGTACAGGTTATATCGAATTCTAGTGTAAATATTCAACTTGACACCTGTTCTAGAAATAACAGGAAATGAAATAATCTGTATAATGGCCATCTGATCCTCAGCATCAGTTTTACACCCAGACAATTATTTCAGTGTTGTTTTAACACTTTCACCTATTTAATCTTCATTGTCCATTGTTGTACTTTTTGCAGTGACTACGGCTTTGAACAACAAGCTAATGGCAGATGTGTCCCAGCATTTTGGTACAATCCAGACTCACCTTCTGAAGACTGTAAATTTGGACATACATACACCAAAAGCTCTGGGTAAGTACCAAACATGTCAAAAAAGAAAAGTTTATGGTTCCTAGTCTCTGGTCCCTCTACCCCACACAGGCTTCGTGTATGTGCGTACCATTTTGGTTACTGCAACCTTCTAATGATAGGGCTGTTTTTGTTGAAGATAAGACAGCAGTTTCCCCCTATGTGTCTCTTCTCTGTATTGATGAGTTACCCATTTGGATGTGAATCTCATGGAATAAATTTCAACCTTCACTACCTGGATAGTAAAGAATTTATTGTGACATCCCAAAGTATTTTGCAACCAATCCAGTGCCTTTGCAATGTAGTCATTCTTTAACCCTAGAAAACACAGTAGTCTATTTCAGCACAATGAGGCTCCACAAACTAATATGTAAACAACCAGATAAGGCCACTAAATGTAGGAGCAAATATGGCCCCGGCCGGTGGTGACTTTTGCTTGGTACCTCACCATGATTGTAGCAGATCATATCCTACCTCTGTAAGTTATACACAGTGGAAGCTTCTGAGCTAGTGGCTGTGAATGTGAAATGAAGTGATGGTGTCGCATCTTCATCATATCTATCTTTTCAGTATTGTATCATAACCAAGTTTCTCTTCTTAACTGTCTGGAAAAAAAAAGACATGAGGGTAAGGGTATAGTACTGTGTTACTTGAGGGGGAAATGTAAGAGGTGTGTGTTAATACTAGCACCAGAGAATGTAGAATGAGAGGTAAATGGGATTTGAAAATAATGCTTAATCATCAGAGTACTGTCATCTCAGTGATTTCAACACTTCCACTGGACATGGCCTCAACAGTTCCTTTTCCTGTATTAAGCAGCACTGTTTCCCAATATTTTTTGTCATAATTTATGCATAGAATGTGGACATTGATGGGTGGACCAGCATTTATTGACCTCCCTAATTGCCCTTGAGAAGGTGTTGAGGTGCCTTCTTGAACCAGTGTAGTCTGGCTGATGTAGATAGATCCACAATAGTGTTAAGGAGGGAGTTCCAGGATTTTGATCCAGTGACAATGAAGGAACAATAATATATTTCAAATATATCGGTCAGTTTTTGTCCAATGTGTGCAGGAGGGTTTCCTGTCGCAGTATGTAGATAGGCCAACATTGGATTTGGTACTGGTTAATGAACCAGGCCAGGTGTTAGATTTGGAGGTAGGTGAGCACTTTGGTGATAGTGACCACAATTCGGTTACGTTTACTTTAGCGATGGAAAGGGATCAGTATATAACGCAGGGCAAGAGTTATAGCTGGGGGAAAGGCAATTATGAGGCGATTAGGCAAGATTTAGGATGCAGAGGATGGAGAAGGAAACTGCAGGGGCTGGGCACAATTGAAATGTGGAGCTTGTTCAAGGAACAGCTACTGCGTGTCCTTGAGAAGTATGTACCTGTCAGGCAGGGAGGAAGTGGTCGAGCGAGGGAACCGTGGTTTACTAAAGAAGTTGAATCTCTTGTCAAGAGGAAGAAAGAGGCTTATGTAGAGATGAGGCGTGAAGGCTCAGTTAGGGCGCTTGAGAGTTACAAGTTAGCCAGGAAGGACCTAAAGAGAGAGCTAAGAAGAGCCAGGAGGGGACATGAGAAGTCTTTAGCAGGTAGGATCAAGGAAAGCCCTAAAGCTTTCTATAGGTATGTCAGGAATAAAAGAATGACTAGAGTAAGATTGGGGCCGGTCAAGGACAGTAGTGGGAAGTTGTGCGTGGAGTCCGAAGAGATAGGAGAGGTGCTAAATGAATATTTTTCGTCAGTATTCACGCAGGAAAAAGACAATGTAGTCGAGGAGAATACTGAGATACAGTCTATTAGACTAGACAGGATTGAGGTTCATAAGGAGGAGGTGTTAGCAATTCTGGAAGGTGTGAAAATAGATAAGTCCCCTGGGCCGGATGGGATTTATCCTAGGATTCTCTGGGAAGCTAGAGAGGAGATTGCAGAGCCTTTGGCTTTGATCTTTATGTCGTCATTGTCTTCAGGAATAGTGCCAGAAGACTGGAGACTAGCAAATGTTGTCCCCTTGTTCAAGAAGGGGAGTAGAGACAACCCTGGTAATTATAGACCAGTGAGCCTTACTTCGGTTGTGGGTAAAGTGTTGGAAAGGATTATAAGAGATAGGATTTATAATCATCTAGAAAGGAATAATTTGATTAGGGTACACGGTTTTGTGAAGGGTAGGTCGTGCCTCACAAACCTTGTTGAGTTCTTCGAGAAGGTGACCAAACAGGTGGATGAGGGTAAAGCGGTTGATGTGGTGTATTTGGATTTCAGTAAAGCGTTTGATAAGGTTCCCCATGGTAGGCTATTGCAGAAAATACAGAGGCATGGGATTGAGGGTGATTTAGCGGTTTGGATCAGAAATTGGCTAGCTGTAAGAAGACAGAGGGTGGTGGTTGATGGGAAATGTTCATCCTGGAGTTCAGTTACTAGTGGTGTACCTCAAGGATCTGTTTTGGGGCCACTGCTGTTTGTCATTTTTATAAATGACCTGGATGAGGGCGTAGAAGGATGGGTTAGTAAATTTGCGGATGACATCAAAGTTGGTGGAGTTGTGGATAGTGCGGAAGGATGTTGCAGGTTACAGAGGGACACAGATAAGCTGCAGAGCTGGGCTGAGAGATGGCAAATGGAGTTTAATGCTGAAAAGTGTGAGGTGATTCACTTTGGAAGGAGTAACAAGAATACAGAGTACTGGGCTAATGGTAAGATTCTTGGTAGTGTGGATGAGCAGAAAGATCTCGGTGTCCATGTGCATAGATCACTGAAAGTTGCCACCCAGGTTGATAGCGTTGTTAAGAAGGCGTACAGTGTGTTAGGTTTTATTGGTAGAGGGATTGAGTTTTGGAGCCATGAGGTCATGTTGCAGCGGTACAAAACTCTGGTGCGGCCGCACTTGGAGTATTGCGTACAGTTCTGGTCACCACATTATAGGAAGGATGTGGAAGCATTGGAAAGGGTGCAGAGGAGATTTACCAGGATGTTGCCTGGTATGGAGGGAAGGTCTTATGAGGAAAGGCTGAGGGTCTTGAGGCTGTTTTCGTTAGAGAGAAGGTTAAGAGGTGACTTGATAGAGACATACAAGATGATCAGAGGATTAGATAGGGTGGACAGTGGGAGCCTTTTTCCTCGGATGGTGATAGCTAGCACGAGGGGACATAGCTTTAAATTGAGGGGCGATAGATATAGGACAGATGTCAGAGGTAGGTTCTTTACTCAGAGAGTAGTAAGGGCGTGGAATGCCCTGCCTGCAAAAATAGTAGACTCGCCCACTTTAAGGGCATTTAAATGGTCATTGGATAAACATATGGATGATAATGGAATAGTTTAGGTTAGATGGGCTTCAGATTGGTTTCACAGGTCGGCGCAACATCGAGGGCCGAAGGGCCTGTACTGCGCTGTAATGTTCTATGTTCTATGTTCTATGTTCTATTTCCAAACCAGGATGGTGTGTAGTTTGGAGGGGAACCTGCAGTGATATTCATTCCAGTTGTGACAGTTCTGACATTCCGACAAGCCTGTTCTCTTCAGCTTAGTTTCTGAGACCTCCAATTTTGTAACACCTTTTCCTGAAAGAGAGGTGATACTGTGACAGTGGTTGGGATTTACTGCTAATGAAGGGGTTTTCCACAACCCCGTCACCAATGGGAGACCAGCCTGGTTCTCCTTGTGTCCTCACGTTACCACTAGTCTAGGAATTCCACCTTAGAGAGCTTCCAACCAATCAGCAATAATGCCCCAAGGTCTAGCCAGGGGAATCACCATGGAATCTCTGAACGCTAGGTTTGGTGAGATTGTGGGTTTCTGGGAAGAGGGTTACCAGAGAGCGGGATAGAAGGTAAGGTCACGGGATTGACTTTCACAAGCTTCCGCAACTCCCGCAGCCCCATTCCTGATGCAGATCCCTCAATCAGGCAGAACACCACCCTCCCCCGAGGAGATGCTGTCAAATCCAACCGAGTTTGATGGTCAGCCTTAGGGGGCTTTGGGAAGCTCTGTGGGTGCCATAAATCTCGGAGCCAACGCTAATGAATAGGTCCGGAATAATTGCTTTCAAGCATTGCATTAATACGACTCATCGACATCCCCCACTGCCAGTTGGCAGGAATCCTGTGTTGGGCCCTTCCCAACCCAAAGTAATTTGGTACAGCTTTCCTGACATCAGGAATCTCATGCAGCTATTCCTGCCAGATTCTCCCAGGTCCCTGTTCCCCCATTCTGCCATCATGCCTCCTCTGGCCACCCAATGATTCCAATGAGTGGTATAGTCAGTTTGGCTGATGTTTCTGTCATGGTTGAAGTCATTGTCAAATGCATGTGGTATGAAAATGATGCTTGCAGCAGGACTAAGTGTATGGGTTAGGTAGTACATGGATATTAGGTGTGAGCTCAGAGATTGTGGCTTGGTGATTGATGGGCTGTAATAAATTGAGCATTGTTCTGGAGTTGGTATAATATGGCATCCTCGTATTGACCTGCGCAGCAATCTTTCTGTTCCCCACTTTTGGTTGTATGTCTAAATCGCCTCCTTTCCATCTCCTCTTCTGAGACCACCAGCGCAGCCCCCAAAAACATTGGAGCCCAGTCTCTCCCATGTTGTCATTCCTTGGTGTTTCCAAGTCACTTTAGCCTGACTCTGAGCACCTGCTCCAACATTACCCATAGAAAAGATGCAACTTGTTTTAAGTGGTGCATTGATTCACTGCTGAAGCTTTCAGGCAATGAACAATACAGATAGCAGTGACTGAAGACACAGATCATTCAGTCGAGTAGACAGCATGAAGTTAGTGTGCTGCTGACCTGACAGTGACCCGGCATGCATCTTGATCCCTGTGCCTGCTTTCAGGAACCATACAATTTAACTGCCATCTTGTATAAACAGGTCAGTTAGGCTATGGCAGTATGACTAGGAGCCTGTCTGATATTTTAAATGGTGATCTGAGCTACCAAGTGATTGTCGTGGTTGTAAGCGTTCCTGGTGGACCAGAAATGGGACCCAAATCTGCACACATTTTTAGTGTACTTCTCCAGGCTTGATAGAAATAAGGGATTCAAATGTCTCTGCTGCCAATTGGCTTAATCTGATATCCAAGGAATATCCTTATGGAACATAGAAAGCACCTTGATGCTCAATGTTGTGCTTTTGCTTGCCAGCCTATTTTCATTTCCTGCCTGCTTTTCTATGAAAAACGCTCTGGATGCCTGTAAAAGAGGCCCAAGAGTTAAAACAAGGCGGTAGTTTTCAAATCATAACTACTTGCTGTTTGAAAAAGATTTTCATTACTGGTTCTTCTGCCTGTTACCTTATCCCTGTGCCCTCTGGTTCATGATGTTTCCACAAATGGCAATTGTTTTTGCTGTCTACTCAGTCCAGCTCTTTCTTATACCTCTATCAAATCTCTAAGCATTTTCTCCTGTCAGGAAATATCAGTCCCAACTTCTCCAATCTTCCCATGTAACTGAAGTTCCTAATGTAAGATGATGGCCATTTTTTTTTTGCTGGAGTTTCTCCTGTTTCCACACTGTAATAGAGGAACCGAGCAGAAACTCCAGTGGAACACTACAAAGTATATTTTCAAAATGCATTCTTGAGATGTGAGCATCATTGTTAAGGTGCTGGTGCTGAGGCCTGTTCCAGAACCATTCAGGCCGTGTGGCTTTGGTACGCCCACAGTGCTGTTACAAAAGGAATTCCAGGATTTTGACACTCCACCAGTGAAGGAATGGCAATGTGGTTCTAAAGCAGTTTGGTGTGTGACTCGGAAGAGACTTGCAAACGGTAATTTCCAATGTGTCTTGCTGCCCTTGTTGTTCTGGATGGTAGAGGTTGCAGGTTTCAAAAATGATTTCAAAGGGCCTTGGCAAGTTGCTGCAGTGCAGCTTATAGATTCTTCACAATCCTGCCTTTGTGTATCACTGGCAGAGGGAATGAATGTTTAAGGTGGAGAATGGGGTGTTGCTCAAGCAGGCACTTTGTTAAAATGCTCTTATGGAATGACCATTTTTGGCAAGGTCAACATTTGTTGCTCATTTCTAATTGTCCTGGAGAAGGTCATAGAGCTGTACAGCACGGAAACAGACCCTTCTATCCAACTCACCCATGCTGACCAGACATCCTAAATTAATCTAGTCCCATTTGCTAGCATTTGGCCCATATCTCTCTTTCCCCTTCCTATTCATGTACCCATCCAGATGTCTTTTGAATGTTGTAATTGTACCTGCCTCCACCACTTCCTCTGGCAGCTCATTCCATACACGCGTCACCCTCTGCATGAAAACATTGCCCCTTAGTTCCTTTTAAATCTTTCCCCTCTCATCTTAAACCTGTGCCCTCTAGTTTTGAACTCCTCTACCTGGGGAAAAGAACTTGGCTGTTCACCCTATCCATGTCCCTCATGATTTTATAAATCTCTGTAATGTCACCCCTCAGCCTCCGACGCTCCAGGGAAAATAGCCCCAGCCTATTCAACCTCTCCCTATAGCTCAACCCTGGCAACATCCTTGTAAACCTTTTCTGAACCCTTTCAAGTTTCACAACATCTTTTCACAACAGAGAGACCAGAATTGAATGCAGTATTCCAAAAGTGGCCTAGCCAATGTTCTGTATAGCCACAATATGACATCCCAACTCCTATACTCAAAAAGGGTTTTTGGTGTTGAGCTTCTTGAGTGTTGTTGCAACTGGCAACTGGAGAGTATCCCATCATGCTCTGACTTGTGCCTTGTAAATTGTGCACTGGTTTCGCAGTATCAGAAATGAGTTATTTGTTCAATTTGCTTTTGTAGCTGCAGTATTTATACAGCACTTACCATATATATTTGTGTAAAAGTAAATCTTGTGTAAAAAGTGACTCCATAACATTTGGCTTAAAAGAATTTTTTTTATAAAGCTTATGGAAAAGTGACCTAAGATTTTCAGGATTCAAACTGTTTTCTAATTATTGATGACTTACCAATAATTACTCCGGTTCTTTAATTTAAAGGTGCATGTGGACACTTACAAATTTTCACAACTTTAATTCTTCTAGCAGTCTTCCATTCAATTGACAAGCCTAATGCATACCATATGATGTATCACAATGTCTTTCAGAGTGACAAAGGCATAAATCAATTTAAACTGGAGAAAAAATTGGCAGAATGGGTTAACAAATGTTAGCAAAATGGTCATATCGCCTGTGGAGCCATCTGACTCTATGCCATTAAAAATGTGAGGAAGGATGGTATTTCAGAATTCAGTGTTAGGTAGTGCACAAGATTCAGGGGAGATTTGATACCCCCTCAGAAAATGAAAATTTCACTGCATCTGCCACCTGACCTTGATGATTAAAACCATCAAATTCCACTGTTTTGTCATCCTGCATTGTGAGAAAAATGTGCATTGATTGGCCAACATTGGTGATAGCAATGAAAGTCAGATAAACATGAACAAGCCAACAAAAATGACCATTGCCTAGACTGATGGGAAAGCTGCCCTTATAAAGACAACTGGTCATAACACATTGTGGTTCACAGCAGTTCCACCTTGCATAGCGGATGGCACAAAATTAAAGGCGATGATGATATTCAATTGCAAAACCCCCCCCAAAGAGAAATTTCAGAAACACAAATCCCCTTGTCCACAAGAAATGCTGGATAAAGAAAGGTGGTTGCAAGAACTGGAACAAAGAGGTGTGGAATGTAAGACTACACAAAGAAAAAGTTTGCTTATCTGGGACATTTCCAAATCACACTTTATCCATGGTTGTCTGTGATGTGTGATTGACCAATATCATGTGGTAGAGATTCCTTGGGGCCTTGTGAATATTGTTCAGCCCCTTGTTGTGTGTATATTAACTCCCCAGACTAAATCTGAATGATGCGGACCAATTGAATATTGAAAAGCAGAAAAACATTCACTAACGGTTGAAATATGCTCTTCTTTCATGGTTACTCCATGACCCGTGGATGTGGCACCACAGCTGGAAGGTGCAACTTGCCTAACTCCAACGCAGTAAATATAAAATGTTTCTTGCTTTGGAGAACATCTCAGCATAGGGCACATTCCTTTTCCTTCGTTAGTAGCACTACCAATTTGCCAGCTCTCTGATTGAGGCAGATTAACTCTAAGAAGAGGGACACTGCCTTACTTGACCTCCTAATTGGCTGTTGCTAAGATAGTGCTATCCCAGGTCCCATCACCAAAATGGATTCACGCCCCGCTTTCGATCTTCTCAGCCCTTTGATAAAATTCTGGATATTGTTTACACTGATTTGTGAGATGATAACAGAAAATCTGCCACACATCATAAAGGGAATTATAGAGAAGTTAAAAAAGAAATGATTTACAGAGGGGATTAGAATGTTGCCACAAATGGTTGTTGAAGTCCAGAAATCCTTTAAAAAGACCTTTATGTACTTACTTGGAAAAGATGAATGGAACTTTTCCATACAGTAAGATTAGACAAGGTGGTTACCAGGAAGTGAGGCTCCACAACAGATGTGATGAGCAAATGCCCATTTTTAATGCTGCTTTTTCTACAATTCTGCAAAATGTCCACATCCACTCGGAGACCTCAAATGTGAAAGCTGAGATTTCTGCCTTTCTTCATAGTTTTCTTCACTTTTTATTCTATGTCTTTAAGACTGACAAGTGAATGACCTCTCACCAGTCCCAAATTTCTGTGAACTTGGTGTTATGTTTAGCAAATAACAGCTGACCCTTCTTTGTAAATTCTGCAGTGCTAAACTATCCCATTCCAGAGTACCTTTATAAAGAAACGGTATAAGGCTCAGAAGTAGCCAGCATTGCATTGGCAACAAAGGCTTTGGTCAGCAATGTGGCTTATCTTCACCGTAGACCTTAGGCTTTTTGAGTTGTTTATCTGTTGTTCTGTTGCTCTAAAATCTGATTTTGATGTACGAAATGGGTATGCACCGAAGCACAAGAGCCAAGGCTATGACAGAAGTGCTTCTTTCTGAGGTGTTTTTGCAATAGAAGTGTGACAAATGAGGTGTTGATCAGCCTGCTGATAGTTTGTTTTCTTTCAGAGTCCTGTGATTGCTTGTGAATTTGGTAATCTTGCAGCCTCCCAATGGTGGTGTTTTAGAGTAATTTTCATTAATGATTTTCTCTCCAGGTTAGGAAACATAGAATCCCTACAGTACTGATAGGGGCCATTTGGCCTATCAAGTTTGCACTGACCTTCCAGAGTATTCCAGCCAGACCAACTCCCCCACGCTATCCCTGTAATCCCACATTCACTGTGACTAATCCACTTAGCCTGCACATCTCTGGAAAATGGGGTATTTTAGCATGTCCCATCCACCTAGCCTGCACATTTTTGGACTGAGAGGAAACCCACTGAGCCACAGAGAGCAAACTGTAAATAGTCACCCAAGGCTAGAATCAAACCCGTGTCCCTGGCAGTATGAGGCAGCAGTGCTAACTACTGTGCCATCTCGGGACACTTTTTTTCACCCAGCGTAGGCGTCAAGTGAGAGGAAGATAGAAATCGATTTATATTGTACAGAATCATGTGCCAAACAGTATATTTTCCCCCTTTTCTTCTGTTTCTGTACACATAGTGTAAGTGTATCTATAGAAGGTGGTGTGAATGCTAAAGCTTTGACTTTTCTGAACAGATACAGGAAGGTGGCACTGAATGCCTGTAAGGGTGGCGTGGACAAGCGACAGAGCTCCATGCAGCGCCGATGCCCAATAATGGCTCCTAAAGGGCTCCGTATAGTGACAAAAGGAGAAAGACTAGCAGTCAACCCTGGTGATGATGTTACATTCTTGATAATGCAGAATCAGGTAATTATAGTGTTCCTGATTCTCTCTCTGTTTCTTTAACATACGCACATGCAAACAAGCATGCAGCCACTGGACAGGTCACGTCATCAAATTTGCTTTAACTGGACTGAATCTGTGCAAAGTATAAATGGCAACAATGACAGTGAAGGTTACAAAGCCTGTTTAGGTGTAATTGTGGTAAATATATAGTCTGCAATGTGATTTGTACTGCTCATTGTACTGAGTGCTTAAGGTGGATTTTCCTACACTATCATTTTATGATGACTGTTGTTGCAAAGACAGCAATGGCCCAAAATCCTAAGTACTTCCATCCCTGGGCCTATTGATTTTATCAAGTGAGTTGCTGATCCATGTTTTTGAAGATGCAACCACCAGTTTATCTTGAGATAGCTGATAATGGCTGTGATGGTGAAAATTGCCTCAGCATCTTTGATTGAGGAAAGAAGAAATTAGCCAGTGCTTTTACTCCAGGTAACGTTTCAATTTCTGCTGGAAGTACAATTTATCCATCTAATGAAAAGAGGTATGGATCAAACTGTCAGAAAGCTTGCTGACACATGGTGCAAAATTACATGTAAGTGATGGCTACCTGGACAATGGCCTGGAACTGTACCCTGCTGAACACTCAGTACTTTCAGGAAAGATGGGTGTTACATGAGGAAAGATTAATCGAGGAAGCTGAGAAAACGGTTATAAAGACCTGAGCCGCCATGACTGCATGGTATAGATACCGCCAATTGTTTTTTAATTGACCCCTTAGGTCTAAACTGACATAATAGTATACTTAGCTTCAGATCAGTACTTTGTTAATTGAGCATAAAACAAAAATGTATTTAATCACTTCCAGAAGGCTAAATGGTGTGTGCGATTCCAGTTCGAGTCAGTATAATTAAATTCTTGTTCCTGATCCACGTGAATGGAAATGTTCTGTAGGGATTTCTATTATTATGAAGCCTAGCTCAAGGAATATTTTCATTGAATCATATACCAGCAATTGGCACCTTGCAAACCGCCAAGCCTTTCAAAATGTTTCACTAGCAATTGTTCTTCCTCTCCGTGCTGATTACAGTGTTTTATGGTCAGGTTCAACAGGCAGTGCCCCTCAACACATCAGTAAGTTGCATATTCTTTGAGCATGAGACATGACATTTACAGTCGGCAGACAATCCTGTGTTTGAGGCTGTATAGATATTACCAGTCTACCATCAGCTGATATCAACTACCCTCATCACAGAACAGAGACTGAACCAGAAGCTGCTTTATTTTGCATAGCACAGTGCCATACCTTCCAGTATGCTTACCCAGCAAGCCACCTTTTAAGTAATTTATGCAATTTTGCTTTTGAAGAATTAATCTGACTTCTTCTCTATCAGAAGGTAGGGCAAGGAGGCAGATCTCACATCACTCTAGCAGGAACAGAAATTAAACCCTGAGCTGTTGACACCAATTTGATCCACACCAACCATCCAGACAACAGCATCCCCTGTGGACATACGTGAGCTACAGTTTACAGAGGACTGTAGTACTGTTGCTCACTCTGCACCAGTTTTGCAAGCCAACATAATCTCTTCAATTCTATCTATAAGTGACTTAGCCTGACCCTAAATGTTCCCAAAGTAAAACTCGTTTATAAACTCAGACCTGGTCAGTCAAATATTCCACCATCCAGTATGTTGAAGGATATGTTGAGAGAACTTTCAAACTTTGGCTAGAATAGATGAGGAGACCCCAGCCCCACCTCCACTGTAGAAGCTCGATCTTCTACAAGCTATGGTAGTGGCTGCTAGACAACAAAGATTTCTCTGCAAGTTACCACCACAATCCTGTGATGCAGCAAGGCCTGGACTAGAGAAATCCACCAGCAATGCCTCTGCCTCATTTTCTCCATTCAGTGGTAGGACTTTAGGACTGTCTTGAAGAAAGCACTGGGCAAAATTGTTACAACATCGAGTCTGGACACATTGTCCAGTTGAAGGAAAAGCATCTCCCCATCAAATAGTTAAGTGTTCCAGGGAGCACAAATAAAATACGACAAAGACACTCCAACATTCTCCTTCAAATGTGTCAGCATTAACATTAATGGCTGGGAAGAACTTGCTACCAGCTTTTCAAAATGGTGACAATTGGTCCTTTAAGCTGCATCATGCTTTGACTCTAAGTGCCTTAATGATGAGGGGCAGCCGTTGAGATGGAAACATAACCGAGGAAAATCCTGCCTTTCAAACCCCACTACCTCATAGAACATCCTGCTTCATGTGTCCAAAGATCTGCAGGTCCACAATTGGCCTGTTGGTAGAAACTTATGACTAACTTGTCATCATCCTCAAATTAAGACAATGAGCCTCTTCCAGTTCAAACTATCCAGCCCCCTCAAGCCACTCTCACGTGTTTCCTCCCTTCTCGCCATCTTTGGTAACCTTACCTTTAACCATCAGGGCCTGGCAATTTGATCTTCTTCTCCTTTAACACCCAGCCTTGACAGGTCTTTCTTCACCTTCTTAAAACTTATTTCTGCTGCCACATTTCTCTTCATTCTTTCTAACTTCTGCCTGGGCATGCTTCTTCTAAATCAATCCATAGTTCTTCATTGTGAAAATCATCTAAGAACAGATTGCACTACAAAATATTCAATATCACGCTTGTGTTGGTACTTGTATGGAAATGACAAAGCAAGTAACTTATAAAGGAAGCATATACAAATATAATGTCTTGGCAAATTATTTACATAGTTAATGTAAGAAATGCAGAGCACTCTAAAAGTTAACTACCTCTTGCCCTTTTCCTGCTTTCTTTTCTCAACCCTCCAGTTGTCTTCCCTTGTTTGTGAAAACATTTGACACATATTGGCAAATGAATCTTTGGGCACTTACAGCCATCTGGCATATCTCTCATTTTCAAATGTGTGAAACTAGAGCAGGAGTATTGAACTACATGCTTGTCTATACCTGTTCAGATTAAGATTCGGTGAACCCTAGATAATTTTATTCCTCCTCCTTAGCCCTGGGACGTTGACAGCAAATGCAGTGCCCCTTGTCAGAAATCAGCCAACTCAGTACACTGGCAAATAAATTTTATTTTAGTAAAGTTTTCCCAATTGGTAGGATAGGGAAACAGAGTCAGCTTCAGCAACTTTGTTTTGTTCAGCTTTTCACTCGCTGTTGCTTATTGTAACCATTGTTTCCTGAAAACCCAGCATTAAAATTCTGACAGAAATATGTGGAAATTAGTGCAGTAATATTCATATGGAAGTGTAACTTCCCAATTTGTGCCAGTAAATTGAACCAATTACAAAGTGCCTTTAGCATCAGCTGTAACTCTGACGTAAATTACAGGAATAAAATTGAGTGCATGTGTTAATAAGATCACAGCTGCTACCTTAGGTTATTGCTGTCTGTAAATAGATATATTTTATCATGATTACAACATTCTATGAATAGCCTTGGAATGAACTAAAGATTCAAGCTTTGGATGGTTAGTTTGCTTTATCACTGTACATAGTTGACAATGATATATAAGTCACTAGTACTTCTTGTGAGAATGTGGCAACATCATAGCAGAGCATAACTGTTTCATTCTAGGCTTCTCATCAACAATAACTCTACATATTTGAAGTATTTGATTCAAGTATTTTAATGTGATTGGGGAAAAATGCCCCTGTTAATCAATGATAAATTTACAATGATGAATTGCAGTATATATTACAATAATAAATTAGAATACAGTAAATACTTCAAGGTGCTGGGCCTGTGATTATTTGATTACTTCAAACAGGAGATAAAGTTGTCTAAAATGAGTTTAGTGGTAGTTCAGGACAAGTGTATTACACTAAGGTGCCTGGTCCACATATTCAGGATCATTATATTTAAAGTGAAAACAAATCAAGGTCAAGACATGCAAAATACAATTAAAATAATTTGCTTCCAGACTAACTCTAAAGATGTTAATCATCTTTTCCGTGCTTCATGATGTCCATACACAGAATCTTAATGTTAGGTGGAAAGCATTGTTAAGAAAAACCTCATTGGTACATCATTTGTATGGTCCCCTCAAGAGGCTTGTGGTCTAGTGCGTTTATGTGAAGTTTCACTGTTTCACAGTTAGGCTTGGATCAATCCAAAAGATGAAATAATAGATCTCTATAAAAGAAGTTTAGAGTAAAATCAATCAGCTCTGGTCAATGCATCCCCAGATTTTGTTTTTTTCGTAATTGTTTCTGAGTTAGCAATTGTGAGAAGATGTCACATTGTTGCAGTCTGACTGCTCTTGACAGTAGGGCACTGTGGGAGACAGGATCAAGGAATTTTTGCCCAGATCTAACTAGTAAAAACTTGATAGTAACAGTACAATAACAAACTGAAAGATGTTTCCTTTGCTAGGATTAATATTTACCAACATCATATATGAAATGTATTTTTCTGTTTAGATATTTCAAATCTGAGTTTGTACCAGAATGAAAATGAACAGGAAATTGAGGCTATGAATTGTTTTGCCTGAACAATGACTGGCAAAATTATTTTGCACAGAAAGGTTACAATTTAGGTTCTGAATTATAGTCAATTTTTGGCCCATTAAGTTCATAGGGTTTGGGAGAATTTCAATTCTACAAATTTCATTCTGAATTTTATACAGCAATTCTTCCAAAATCCAGAATCATGTCTGATGCTGTTTTTGCTCTGGCTAAGAAAGCAGACAATAAATTAAAAGGAAGAAATACAGCTCATTTTTTTCACCGGTGCCCTCGCCTGGTGTTACTTCCAATAGCATTCAGCTCCATAAGCATACCTTGCCTCAAGTTCTTCATTTCTGAGCCTAGACATCCATGTGGTTATTCATCCATGGATGGCCTCACAACTAAGCCCAGTTCTGTTCTCATCTGACACCCCAGGAGAGATTGCTTGTTGCCTTGTTTAAGAGGAAAGGCACTCATGCTGATTCTTCCCGTCCCTAGTCTATTTTTGCATCAACAAAATTGCAAAACACAGCTAAAATCAGCCAGTTTAAGAGAGAAAAGATAAAACTACCAGTTCCTACACCCTGGCACTAGATCAGGATTTCCCTTTGTTCATTAAGATATCTAGGGAGCCTGAGCAAATGCGTTTAGTGATTTGGGTATATAGTGTGCTTACAAGCTAGATCCAGTTACTTAATTTAACCAGGACTTTGGAACGCATGAGTGACTCATGAAACCATACTAATCTCTTTTTAAACGCCAGTTCTTTATGCTCGTGTGTTGTTATGCTGTTTCTGTTTTTTTGTTAGGGTGATACTTTAAACACAAAATATCAAGTGGATCTTGGAGATGGTTTCAAGGCAATGTATGTCAACCTCACACTGATGGATGAACCAATTCAACATAGATATGAGAAACCAGGAATCTACCGTGTCTCTGTGAAAGCAGAAAACACTGCAGGGTCTGATGAGGCCATGGTTTACATTCAAGTGAATTGTAAGTTTGCTGCAGCACAAATATATATTTAAGAGCATGATGACACCCAGTAAACTAATTTATTGGGCAGCTGTACAGATGTTTTTGCTGACACAACTGTACTTGGTCTCCACAGCACCTCTCCAAGTTGTGCATCTGGAGGCACTGCCAGTCATTCGCAGGAACCAGCGAGTGAATCTGACAGCAATAGTGCGGCCCAACAACACCAACCGCACAGTCTTCCAGTGGTGGCTGGGGGACAGCCTTGAGGTAGATGTCACATTATACATAGCCAGCTGATAATTCATGAAATACTATTTAAAACAAAAAGCACATAATTTTTTCCATGTTTTTGAACCATTTTTTGCAGCCTCGTCTTACCCTAGAAAACAGTCTCATAACCAGCTTTAGTGAGAATGGTCAGATTAAAGTCACAGTCCAAGCTTCATGTGGTAGTTCCATGGTTCAAGACTCTAAGGTGGTGAGGATATTTGGTAAGAAATCTAAAGTGTTTATTTTGGAATGTGGGCATTTATTTTTACCTAGCACCATTTGCAACTCCTTAGATACTAAAGCAGTCCACGTTCATATGCAGCAAGATACTAACAATATTTAGGCTTGTGTTGATAAATGGCAAGTATTGTTTGCATCACTCTATAAACATTTCAAGCAGGATAGAATTTACCCTTGTCCCTTTGACATTCCATGGCATTACCATCGCTAAATCTTGAACCATCTACATCCTGAGGACCAATATGGAACCGTCATATAAATACTGAGGCTAAAAAGCAGACAGAGACTAGGGGTTCTGTCAGCTACAACAACCAGCTTCTGCTGATCTACTCCAGAATCTGACACCATTCCCTGGATTATGCATCAGTCACTATGCATAGCAGGTTCCTGGTAGGATTCCCACCATTAACATCCTATAGTGGGAGCGTAGAAAATCTGAACATTAGAATGAGCATGAGGGGATCTTAAGAGGGCATCAGAACCAGAATCAGACCAACAGTCCCACTGAAAATGTCTTTTCAGACAGACAGTCTCAGCAGGAAGGAGTCTGAAAGAAGAGACTCTGCTTTAAGACTTTCTTGTCTATGAAGAAATTTCAAGGTTTTCGCTGATGATTTCTGAAGTCCATGACCATTTTATGAAAAAACGTATAGCAGGTATAGGCTATTGGCCCTTCAAGCCTGTTCTGATTTTCAGAATGATCTTTATGCCACATTCCCACTTTCTGTCCATATCCCTTGATGCCTTTTAACATCTAAAAACTTATCAATCTCTGTTGAATATATTTAATGCCTTAGCCTCCACAGCCTTCTAGTGTCATGAATTCTACAGGGTGACCACGCTTTGAGTGAAGAAACCTTTCTTGGCCTAAATGGCCGACCCATTACCCTGAGATTATTTTGCCTGGTTCTAGACTCCCCAACAAGGGGAAACACCTTCCCTACATCTAGACTGTCCAGCCCTGTCAAAACTTTATACAATTCAATCAGATCACATCTCATTCTTCTAAACTCCAGTGAATACAGATACATATAAATAATCTCTCCTCAAAAGACAGTCACTGCCATCCTAGTACCATCCTAGTGAACCTTTGCTGCACTCATTCTGTGGTAAGTATATCCTCTCTTCGGTAGGGAGGCAAAAGCTGCACACAATATTCCAAGTGAGATCTTACCCAGGTCCCGTATAACTGCAATAAGACAGCCCTACTTTTGAACTCTATCTTCTTGCATTGAAATTCAACATTACATGTGTCTTCCTAATTGCATGCTGCATCTGCCTGTTTACTTTCATTGATTGATGTACAAGGAGACCCAAATCCCTTAATACATCCACACTTCCCAGTATATCACTATTGAAATAATACTCCGCCTTCCTGTTCTTCAGACCAAAGTGTATAACTTCACATTTATCCACGATATGCTGCTCAGCTATGTGTTTGCCCACATATTCAAGTTTATCTACATTAGCCTGAAGTCTCCTTGCAACTCATAGCCCCATCTAGATTTTGTGTTGTCAGCAAATATGGAAATATTGCATTTGCCTCCCTCATCCAAGTCATTTATGTATATCGTGACTAGCAGGGTCCCAACTTCTTATCTCTGTGGTACACCACTAGTCAACTCCTGCACCTTGAAAAAAGACCTATTTATATGCATCCTCTGTTTCCGATCAGTAAACCAATTCTCAATCCATGCCAGTATATTTTCCCCAATTTCATCTTTAATTTTACCCGCTAGCCTGTTATGTGGGACTAATCAAATGCCTTCTTGAAACCTATTGCTTCTTCCTCACCTATTCTACAAGTTAAATCTTCAAAACACTCCAGAAGATTAGTTCAGCATGGATTCTTGTGCACAGTGACTCCAGAAAGTGGCAATGGGAGATAATTTAGGAGGAAATTCCTCCATGGATCTGTCCCTACTCTGTGCCTAAGCTATTAGGATGTGACAGGTGATGAGAGAGCATAGAGAGGTGGACAAAAGAACATAAGGATTAAGAAGAGGAGGAGGAGCTCATTTGGTCCTTTCAGCCTGCTCCACCTATTAGTAAGATCATGGCTTTAACTCCACACTTTGCTGTCTGCTTTCCTTCATCTTTGACTCCCTTGTAGATCAGAAACCGCTCTCACTCTACCTTGCAATATGTTCAACGACCCAGTGCTCGCTGGGGAGAGAATACCGAACATTGATTACCATCTAAGAGAAGAAACTTCTCCTTATCTCCATCTTAAATAAAAGTCACCTTTTGAAGTTTTGTCCCCCAGTATCTGGATTCTCTCAAAGGGAAACATCCTCTTAGCACCTAATACCCTCAGGATCTTTTATATTTCAATAAGATCATCTTATTCTTCTCAGCTCCAATGAATATAGGCCCAATCTGCTCAACGTTTCCTCATAACCCAACCTTTCATCCCAGGAGTCAACCAAGTCAGTTTCTCTGAACTGCCTCAAATGCAATTAAGTCCTTCTGTAAACAAAGTGGTCAAAACTGGCTACAGTGCTCAAGGTCTCGTCTCAGCAATGTGCTTACTGCTGTAGCAAAACTTCCCTACTCTTGTACTCCGTTCCCCTTGCGTTCTTAATTCCTTGCAGATTCCAGATGCAGGACTTCCAGGGATGGTGGACTGTGGAAAGCCTCACCTTCCAAAGTTTCCTTAATTTTCCGGAAGCATCCTGCCCCCAATTTCAAATGTGATTGCAGAAGAGAGTAGTTTCTAGCTACTGTTTTCATTAAATAACTCTTATTGAGCCTTTGGAAATTTACCAGTCAGTTTGGGCCTCTTTCTAAATGGAAGAATTAAAAGCTGTGGAGGCTGGTTACAACAGTTTCAAAAATGTTTTTACATTATCCGTAAATTCACTGACCCTCAGGTCCTGATAGGGAACTGCATCAAAGGCAAATGTCGGTTAGGGCATCAGCATTGTGTGCTGTAGCCTCTGACACCAATTAGCACTTGCTTGGAGCATGGCTCCCTGTGGATCAATAAATATGTTATGTATTGTCGGTGGGATAAGCGACCTAATCACTAATGAAATATTATGCTTTAAATGCATAATTAGAATTGTGAAATCATGTCCCATAAAATGTACGCAGAGGGGCTACTTCGTAGTTAGTTCTCTAGATTAAAAAGGATGAATAATCTGGATGTTTATAAATAAACTGAAAAAATTATAGCCTAAAAATGCCCCCAGTATCAATGGATGGGAAGCTATAGAGAGTGCAGACACAAATTCTTGATATACAGGTGGGTGAGTAGGTTTTAGACCTAGATCCTGTGTTTAGGAACTTGGTTCTTAAATGATGTAAATATATGTTGAAACAAATTGTTATAATACTTGAGCATAATCTCATTATAGCTGAATGACTGATTCTTTGCCAAACAAAAAGTTGACAAATTGTTTTTAAGCAGAGAGTAATCTTTAAATGTTTGTAATAAACATGGCATCAGCCTTTACTATGGTTCTAGTACAAATTCATTGATGTTTCAGATCAGTTGGAAGTGCTACCTCTTGAATTTTCTCAGAACATTGACAGTTACAATCCTAATGTACCAGAATGGAGGGAAGATATCGGACAGGTTATATCGAGGATTTTAGCAGAGGTAATTGCTAATAACTTACCTACACCAACTGGAAATCTCACACTTGAGAGCATCTCTTTCATAATTGTGCAATAAACTTTGCAGACTGTCAGGTAGATGTTCAACGTGCCAATAGCAAACTAAAATTGAAATTAAAAAACTGGCAGCTTATATAATGGGCAGTTGATTCACATTGACAACTTTATGCTCAGTTGGCAAGTTGAAAATTTACCACAATATATCCACTATCTCGATACTGTTGTTAATTGCATTCCTTCCAGGATAGCATAACCACAGAAACAATTAAATCCCACAAGTGAATGAAAATATTCTGTCTCGTTATTTTGTATGTTTAAGCCTATTTCCACCTCTCATAATCAAAGTTAATGAGAATGCCTGGAGGATTAAGTTGATAGATCATGATGTATTGAGTATTGTAATTTTTTGCTACTATGATTAGGACTATAACAATGTTAGACTAGGCCTTTCAGTTTATAGAGTTAGTCCAGGTCGCTGAATCAGAGGAGTTTGCAACATAGGAAGATGCGTGATCATTGCACTGGCTATTTGAAAGAGCTATTTACCAAATTTCATTTCCTTGCCCTGTTCTGTGTTCTTTCAAATTTTCCTGTTTCAAGATCCTTTTTCAATATTTGCCTGTACAAAACTCAAATCACATTTCTCCACAAAGATTCGGAATTTCCATTGGAGATGTTGAATTTCGTGGTTTTTCATTCAATCAGGTTTCTCATAGAATTCAATATCATTACAAATTTGACATTGTGACCTTTGATTTCCTCCTCCATGGGAACTGGAAAGATTCTGCGTTGACCCTGAGCCTTTGACCTTGCTGAAGGACAGTTATATAAACATTATGTACTCCACTTCAAAGTGGCACATTTTTTCTGCTATTTCCCTCTAATTGTTTGGGAGCCCTACTGCTCATTTGTTTACACTCCTACCCACCCCACACATTTGTTCATACTGGCATTCTTATCCCCTTCATCCATTAATTTACACAGGCCCCATTCTCCTTACTAATTGATTGTTCATTTTGTGGCCCTTCTCCTCCACCCATTAGTTCACTTTGGCCCACCATAGAGAACCAGAGACTGTCTCCTTGAGAACAAGGGATAACCACAGCTGACTAAAGACTCTGCTCCACCATCCGACCACACAAGAAAAAGTGAACCAAGAATGAAAGTCAATAGCCACCAGGAGCATCAGGGAGCAAACTACTGGAATCATGAATTCATAGTTCTGCCTGGATCACTAAGCGAGAGACCTGCAGTAATCATCTGAGAATCTCTCCAAATTTCTGATGATTTGCTGCATCTTTGACATTTTTATTAGGAGAGTGCTGCCCTTGCCACCAAAAGAGGAGAAAAAGAGGAGACTCCCGAGAGTTCTTGTTTTGGAAGAGTTGTATATGAATAGATACTCAGAATCATGCTTCCCTGCGATCTCACCCTTCACTTTTCAAACTCTCTGCTACAAACCCTCACAGAATCCTCTTGGCCAATTTCCTAAAATATAAGTCACAACATATGAACTTTATTCCATAACACTGCGTGGAGTTGCATTTAATCTGAATTATTCATCCTAGTGCATTGTCTTAGTGCCTGTCTTCCCTGTGCCTTTGTATGTCCTTGTGCTCCTAAATATGACTCCAACGTATCTTGTGATGGCTGCTGAGTTTTACTGGGGAAACACCCTGAAGCATCTCTGTGAACTCACCTTCAGACTGTCTCACTTCAGCAGACAGCAGTTGGGTGCCAGCAGTCTGAGCTGGTTGGCTGAAAGGCAATATTGAGACCAGTCATAGAACTGCAGTGCTGGAAACCTGGATGCTATCATCCTAAGAGAGGAGACCAAGGTAGTGCCCCATTCCCCCAAGGTGGAACCTCAGTCTGAACATGTGTGACACCAAATTGAGGTTGTTTGGCAACAAGCCTGGATTTTGTGCCCTTAGTCTGAACTTTCATGGCAGCTCTGAGACATTAGATGGCCTCTGCCTGTGCAGTAGTAGAATACAGGATGACAGCTACCAGACATTGTCATATTTGGGTTTACAAATGCTATCATGGAACTGACTATCACTTATACTCTGGAGAGTATGATTTACAAGCTCTCCATGTGGACATTTGCTAAATTTAAGCTGAATTTCTCCATGGTCATTGGCGAGTGACAATAGGCTTGATAGGCCTTCTGTTGAGTTTGACACCTCAATGCATACACATCAGCACTAATTGGATTTGGTACATCACCTTATCAAAGTCCTCATATAAATAGTCTCCAACAGAACGCCTCTGCTTTCTTGCCATCCATTTACCCCCAGCCTAACCAACACCCAGTTATACCCTGTGACTCAACACATGTTGATCCCAAGTTTGTACTCCCTTCTCAGATAATTACAGTGCCAGTACCTGAGGTAATGACTGCAAGTGCCAGATTGAGTGATGGTAAATCTTTAGAGAGCTGGAGTAGTTTTCTCCCTTTCACCACGTGGCAGCACAGGCTGATCAGGCGTCAATGCTTGGGTACCTGGAAGTGTAAATGCAGCCAGGGATGTCTGATTGGAAAGCAAGATACCCATGGTCATGCCATTTGCTGCTTGCATTTCATATAGGATAGTAGGATGAGTGCATTGTAGAATTGAGAATGGACTTAAAGTGGGAACACAACATAAAAGCCTGAATTATCTATGTTATGTTGGATACTATAGATTAAGTCACAGCAGGTCTCATGATGTAGAGTTTTCTTTGGTCCAGAGGGATCAGTTGATCATAAAACCATAAGATGTAGGAGCAAAGCAGACCATTCAGCCCAACTGAGACTGTTCTGCCATTCAAAGAATCATGTATATTTCAATAAGGTTGCAACTCATTCTCTTATACTCCAATGTAATTGCTCAATCTCTCAATATAAAACAATCCCTCAAAACCAGGTATCATCCAAGTGAATCTTCTCTGAACTACATCCAGTGCCAGTATTTCATTCCTTAGATAATGGGCCCAAAACCATTCACAGTATTCCAGCTGTGGTCTGACTTGTATCTTGTATATTTACAGCAAACACTCCCTACTTTTATACTTCATTTCCTTTGAAATAAAGGCTAACATTCCATTTGCCCACCCTATTACCAGCTGAACGTGTATACTATTTTTTTGTGATTTATGCACAAGGACTCCCAAATTGTAGATCTTAGGCAAGCCTGTCCCTGACTGGTTCTGACAAGCCGTCTATGATAATTGATCACCTTGTCCAGAAACAATAAAGTCAGTGGTATGTTTTAATCTCTGTGGATGATGTGCCCACTTTACCTGAACAGCTCAAAGTATGTGGTAAGCCTCAATGGCTGTAGGCCTGCTGTGGTGAACTGGAGTCTCTCAATTAAAGCTGAAAGAACTGTGGATGCTGTAAATCAGAGACAAAAGTAGAAAGTACTGGAAAAGCTCGGCAGGTCTGGTAGCATCTGTAGAGAGAATCAGAGTTAACGTTTTGGGTCGAGTGACCCTTCTTCAGAACAGACCTTTCTGAGGAAAAGTAACTTGACCCGAAACGTTAACTCTGATTTTCTCCACAGATGCTGCCAGACCTGCTGAGGTTTTCTAGCAATTTCTATGTTTGTGTCTGGAGTCTCTCAATGTTGGGCATTAGCTTTGTTACTGATGGATGAGTGACCCTAGCAGACCATTGAACAATGTGAGATGTTAGTCAGCTGGTGGGTAGGAGACAGCATTTGAAGGTGCACACATTGATTTCTCTATGTGTGCCTGGTTATTGACCTGTTTCTACCTCTGTAGCCAATTTGATGGAACCAGACTCTGGGAAGTGACTTCCCTGGGCACCTTTGTCTTGATCATGTCCTAGTCCCCTCTGGAAACATGGCATCTCTCCTCTTTCCACTTCTGTCGCTGGAACTTGCAGCACTGCATCCAAAAGCCTGATGGTTCTCTTTCTGGTCTGTTGTTCCATTACATTCCTTCTATTCAAGCCTCCCCGAGACTCTCGCTGTAGCTGCTGTACCCTAAGTGCAATTCCTGTTTAAGAGGGGTAGGATGCCTTTAAGAGGTGCGGACTGGCTTTGCATCATGCTAGCTGCATGTGCTATTGGACCCGCTATTGATCAAGAAGCTAGTGAGCAATATGTTTCACATTGGTCTGTGTACCACAGTCAAGTTGACCAAAAGGCAGCACATAGTTTGTGTTGTCCACCTGAAATGGCTCATGAACAATTTAACTGGGTATTGCAGTTCCTGCAAGGAAATCAGGCCTCATTAAATTATTCTGTCGAGCATGCGGATATGTTCCAATAGTGAGCAGGATATTTCTATCATTTAGACCAGCACCAGACAGGAGCTGAAGCTAAAGAACTATTTTCATCGGCAAGCATAGAGAAGTGCAGATTGATTCAAAAATGATTATACATATAGTTCCAACAAAACATTGTTTTGTTCTGTTAAATATTGCCACATTAGCTTTCATTTGTTACTTACCTTAATCTACCACATAAAATAAGTACTCTCTTTCCACCTTCATTTCTTGAAGTATTTTTGTATATCAGTTCATTCTGTTGTTTATGATTGTTACTGCTTTGTTTTTATTTTTAATAGCTGCTTCATTAGTCATTTTCATCGAATCTGTACATTCTGAATATTTCCCATCCCTTTCATTAACAACTTACTTGCACGCAGAAAATCTCAATGTGTGATACGTTGAAGTATTTTGCCAATGTAACAATCATTGTCTTTGCAGAAAACAGGCATGCCTGAGGACTTACTTATAACAGTGGTGAGAGTGGGTCTGCCCACCACAGCAGAACTGTATCTGCTTCCCCCATCAGAGAAACCAAAGAGGAAAAGAAGCACAACTGCTGACAAGGTACCAAATTTGACTCTTTACAGAAATGTTGGTAATATAAAGATAACTCAAACATTGGCTGAAACTATAAAATTGATCAACATATCTAACATTTGTTGACATAGCAAGATGTTCCAAACCGTTTCAAAAAAGGTGGGAATGAAGGGGTAAATGGTAAGGTAGATTGAAGAAGAAGAAGAAAAATTAACGGTGAATACTACAGATGCTGGTAATACTCAGCAGGTGAGATAGCATCTGTGGAGAGAGAAGATAAAAGCTATGACTTCAGATATAATCCTTTATTTGGAATGAAGAGAATGGTGGGAGAGATGATTGTAGTTATGGTTAAAGAGTTAGGTTTTGTGAAGCCTTTTGAAAGTAGAGAAAAGTGCAACATGATGGCAAGGTTTTGCAAGAAAATTCCAGAGTTTAAGGCTATGATTGCTGAAGAATCTACTACCAGTGAGGATTACGGGGAAAGTGTAGTGATTGTAATGAGGTCAGCCAGGTGGACCTCATAGAATATGAGTTCTCTGATTGGGGCTGTTAATCTGGTCCAATCAGGGAGCCCTGGCTGACAGATATAAACAAGAGTGTCAGACATTCTGACGCTGAGAGCTGGCTCTGAGGAAGCTGCACCAGTGTCAAGGACTTTGCTCATGTAAATAAAGGGTGACTTGGTGATGGGATACCGGCCACTGTGGCGTTATTTTCAGAAAGGAAACATATAATGCTGCAAAATTTGAAATGAAAGAGACTGCATTCTGAGATGTTAAGTTGCAGGATATGACAAGGTTAAGGATGGCGACTGGTGGAGAGCTAATGAATATGTTTTTCCCATGTAAGTATTTGTATTTGCTGATGATATTGATATTAATGCTCAGGTCTTTGTGCATCTCGAGTCATGATGTATTTGTTGGAGTATGGGCTGCCCTGTTTTGCAAGCTTGAAGTTCCAACAATTGTCTGAACCGTATTGGTCATGTGTACTGGAATTCCTTAATATGAATGATATGAAGTGCATGTGTCCTATCACTCAATATTATACTGACCATCTCTAATTGCATTGACATTTGATAATGGCTAATAAACAGAATCACTTCTAATTTAATTTCAATTGTCGTGGTACTACTCAACACAAGGACAGGACTCCTCAATATGAAGACAGAAAGAAATCTCCTGAAAGACTGTATAATAATCACCCACACTACCAAAGACACGTACATCTATAGCAGGCACATTGGTAAGGACTTAGTGAAGCAGGTCTGTCTGTGTGTTGGCTCTCGTCTAACCTTCTACAAACCATCAGGACTCAGCCAGCTCAGTTAGTAACAGACAAGGTCCTCCTATGATGAGACTTGGATCCTGTCTCCAGATTATTTATCCAGTAACATGATGACCATTTTTCATGTACTACCCATGCTAAAAACTAGCACCATTCTGGCCATGCTTGATAGATGAAATGAAATCAGCTATCTGTATTTTCCTATTGATGGATTCTACCTATATTGAGATTAATAACGTATGGATTTGCTGAAAGTTTTTCACCATTTAACAGTTGATGGCTACAATTTCAAATGGCAGAACCCGGAAGGTGACAGTCACCATCTGGCGGATGCAACAGAGAGTCTGGATCCCGACAGCATTCTTGCTGTAATGCTCCAGAACGAACTGTGCCACTAGCCAAACCATTCCAGTACAGCTACAACTCTGGCATCCACCCATCAAAGTGGAGACTTTTGAGTTATGTCTTGGGCCCAAAAAAAAACAGGACAGATCCAACCTTGGCCATAACAGCATAAGACATAGGAGCAGAAGTAGGCCTTTCAGCCCATCAGGTCCGCTCTGCCATTCATTGAGATCGTGGTTGATCTGATAATCTTCAACTCCATTTTCCTGCCTTGCTCCTGTAAGCTTTAATTCTCTTACTGAATTAAAATCTGTTTATTTCACTTCACCTGATGAAGGGGCTGCTCTCCGAAAGCTTACGTAATTTCAAATAAACCTGTTGGACTACAACCTGATGTCATGTGACTTCTGACTTTGTCCATCCCAGTCCAACACCGGCACCTCCACATCATATTTTCAGATTGAATACGGTCACTCCACATCATATTTCAGGTTGAATACAGTCACCTCCTGATGTGCATTCCTCCAGGATAGGAACGATGAGTGGCTCATTTTGCAGATTTTGTTTACTTAGTGTGAACTCCTGATTAAATCAGACACTTACCTTTTTGAGTTTATGTGTTCTAGACTAGGTCAGGCATTTTTAAGTCACGGTCTGGTGTTTGGAGGCCTCCTGCTGGATGATGTGTTTTATTCTGGCTGCTGTATTTGAAACGGCTGTTTTACTTTGCAAAGTTATTTATAACTTTAAACAAAGCTGTATCAAACAAATACCATAAATGACACAGTGGATAATACCTACACAGCTATACGAAGTACATCACAGGGCCTCCTAGCGATGTCTGTGAGGCAGCAGCTGCAGCTTTGACAGCGTGGTGGGCCCGGATCGGGATTCCCAGCACATTAGTGAGGCATTGGCAGTGGAACCAGGGACACCTGGGACATCGGCTGGACCCGGAACGAGGACTCATTGCACCCTGGAGCCTGGAATACCTTACAGAAAAAAAACAAAAATTCTGTTGATGCTGTAAATCAGAAACAAGAACAGAAATTGCTGGAAGAGCTCAGCAGGTCTGGCAGCATCTGTGGAAAGAAATCAGAGTTAACATTTCAGGTTGAGTGACCCTTCCTCAGAGCACCTTACAGGAACCTTAAGAAAACCCAGAGCTATGCTTGACAAGAGGGACTGTAAAGTTGAACATTATTTTGTATTTTTCAGCCTTTATGATTTTCTGTCGATAGAACAGAAGATGAGCTCTACTTAAGTAATTTCTTTTTATTCATTTTGTAATTCAAAATGGTGCCAGATTGTGGCGACAAAACACTTCCACTGTATTTTCCCAAATACATGTGACAATAAAATCATTCACTCGTTCACACACACACACACACATCACTTTTTGTCTCTCTCTCACTCTCACACACACAGACAAACACACAGTATATAACATAGTGGATAGCAACGATCGGTATTTCCAGACTAAAACAAGGAACTGCGGATGCTGAAGATCTGAAACAAAAACAGAAGTTACTGGAAAAACTCGGCTGGTCTAGGAGCATCTGCTTTCTCCCACAGATGCAGAGATGTTGCCATACCGCCAGTGTTTCTCCAGCAATTTCTGTTTTTGAATCAGTATTTCCAAGATGAGCTTGATTAAATAATCTTAGACATTCAGTTGGTACAGTCACAAATGATAGCTCCAAGTCTAATCACCCACAAACAGAAATTAAACGAATGCAAAAAGTACATTTAGAAACTTTGAATCTGTATTGTAACTAAACTGAACTCCTACAATTCAGGACAAAGCTTGATTTATATCCCATTTATGATGTGAAGCACCTACTTATTTCATCACTTGCACAGCCTAGCTGCAGTATGTACCATCTACAAGATACACTGCAATACTCATCAAGGTTTCTTCAATCCTCAGTGCCTAACAGAGCAACAAATACAGCAGATAGATGGGAATTCCCCTGAAAGTCACACATTTTCATTTGGAAATCTACTGCCTGCCCTTTAGGTAGCAAGATCTATATTTTGGAACTCCCTCACTAACAGTGCTATGGGAGTACCTTCAATGCACAACTTTAGCAGTTCATGAAGTCAGTTCATCACCACCTTCTCTCGGTCAACTAAGGATTGATAGTAAATTCTATCCATGCCAGCAACACCCACATCCCATGGATATATGAAATAAAGTTTTTACCACTTTTTGTTTTGTTCCTATTCCCTAGGTTAAGAGTTCAGATAAACTAAAAATATGCCCCAGCCAATTTAGTACAACAGCAGATTCAACAGTTTCGGTTTTGCTTCCTTAAGTTCCTCTACCTCTTCAATTTCATTTCCTCCTGTAAGAACTTCCTTAAAATGCCATGGTTTTACTATGTGTTTGGTTACTCTCTCTTCATGTGAATTTCTTTGGCTCGATGTCCATTTTTTGCTAGATTGCAATTTTGCACTCAAGTCACTATATTATTATCAATTGCAATTGTCACCAAGTGATTTAGGGATACATTATACTAAGTTGTTCATTCATAATGAAGAAGCTTGCAATATCTTTTAAAATATGGGAAATTGGAGGAGTAGAAGACATCCTGGGAAGGAGGCATTGGCTGGAAACTGGAATTCCCACTAGGAAAATGCCAATATCAAAATCAAGTTGTATCTGAAGCAATCAGCTAGTTAAGAGAGAACAGACGAGAAGGGTCTAGGCCCGAAACGTCAGCCTTCCTGCTCCTCTGATGCTGCTTGGCCGGCTGTGTTCATCCAGCTCTGCACCTTGTTATCTTAGAAGAGAAAGAAGAATGGGTTGAGAAACATATCAGCTATGGTTGAATGGCAGAGCAGCCTCGATCAGTCGAATAGTCTAATTCTGCTCCTTTATCTTATGATCTTGTGAAAAGAAATTCCTTCTTTATGAGGATTGTGAGTCTTTGGAACTCTTTGCCATAGAGAGCTGTGGGAATAGAGTCGTTGTGTATATTTAATGCTGAGATAGATAGATTCTTGATTGGTAGGGGAATCAGGGGTTATGGGGGAAGGGCACAAAAGTGGATGTAAGGAATGTGGAGCAGGCTCAAGGGGCCTACACCTATGTTCATATGGTCTTATAGCGTTGTATGCCAGTGAAACAAATTCCATCTTTATCTAGTAGTTATATTTACTGGCACTGTAAAGCAGTTCAATGATAACTACTTGCTCTCAGCCAGGAGACTAGTAGTTGTGCATGTGATCCACGAAGCATTACAGCATAAGGATTAGGTAACCTGAAATGTTGTGTCAGAATTAGCCAGAAGCACTTCATTTAACTGTGGGAATAATTGGTGATGAAAGTACTAGGTTTGAGGTAGGAAGTAATAAGACGTTTGACTTAGTCTAACGTTTTATGCATTTGACAAATTCAACTTGATCTTCAATGAGTTTTAAATTGAGCTGTGTCGTTCATCCTTTGCCTGTCCATGGTAATTACCATTAAATTAGTCTCATAATACAAATGGAAATCACAATGGATTCTTCTTTTTGTTGAGAATGGAGGTGATTGACAAGCCTATTGAAGCTTGAGCACTGCTGTAATTTATTCCACATTATAAACCAACAGATTGTTCTGTGCTTTTGCCTCCAGGGTATTGAATCCTTAATAGAAGCTCTGACAGAGAATCAGGTAAAAATTTCTCTGAAACCAGGGGTGGAAGTGACTGTTACACTGGCCGATTACAGAGCAGGTAAGGCCATGATTTTCGTCCCAATGGCATAAGACTGAACAGTGTGAAAAACAAATTTTGTTACAATGTTCACATTCAAATTGCACAATATTAAAGATGGCATTTATTCTATGTTAATGGCTGCTCCTGTTCTCTGAAAGAAATGTGGGGTCAGAAATTTGACTGACTCTTGGTATAAAGTTTTCTGGGCTGCTGATCCCATCTGGCATCCTAGAGGCAGGGAGAAGTTTCCCAATTAACATTTTATTCATGTTGGGTGTCCACACCAGAACAGGCTAATCTAAGTCACTTAGATAGCAGGTATCCTGGAGGAAGGGAGACTACAAACTCACGCATTGAGGGTGTGGCTGATGCTAACTAAGATTTTCAGTCAGTCACCCTTCATCCCTCTTTGGAAAGGTGGTTTAAAAAAATGACTTGGAAGATAAACCTGGAACTCCCAAATGTGTTTCCTTTCATCTGCTGATGTGTTTGTCATCTGTATGTATGGTGCCAGATTGTGACAATTCCAGTCTAAGAAACCCTTCTCAGCCGTACACATGAAGAGCTATTATAAATAAACTTATGTTCCCCTTCAAAGAAACTCAGTCTGTGCGAGCTCAGCAGTGAGGGTTGGGTCAATTGCATTCATGACTAATTTGTGGGCTTTAAAACATACTTCTGATGTTCTTCTACTGGGAGCATGTTTGAGGCCATTGTCATTGCAGTGATTATATGGATTAAAAGAAGATAGAATGCAAGGAAATAAATATTGAACGTCAACCGTATCTTGTGTTGTTTCACTCATGGGATTTGAGCAGTGTTGGCTAGGTTATTGCCTATTCCTAATTGCCCAAAAGATAGTTAAGCATTAATCACATTGCCCTAGGCTAGACCAGGTATAGATGACAGATTTCCTTCTCTAAAGGACATTAGTGAATTAAATCCGTTTTTCTGACAATCAACAATCGTCAACATGAGACCCTAAATTCCAGATTTTTATTGAATTCAAATTTCATCATCTGCCATGGCAGGATTCAAAATCAGGTCCTCAGAACATGCCTGCGTCTCTGGATTAATAGTCTAGCGATAATACCACTAGGCCATCATCTCTCTGTATTTGTTGCCTGACCCTAGTTGATGTTGAATTGAGGGGCTTGGTACAGCATGTCAGAGGATGGCTAAGAATCGACTATATTGTTGACTCTGCAGTCACGTAGACAAGATCAGATAAGGATGATAGGTTTCCTTTTCTAAAGGGTATTAGTGAACCAAATGGGTTTTTATGACCATTAGGGGTTTCATGCTCACCAACACTGACACTAATTTTATATTATTTATTAATTGAATTTAAATTCCACTGGCTGACATAATAGGTTTTGAACCTGTGAGCCCAGAGCATTAACTGGCATCTGGATCATTCATCCACTGATATTACCACGATACCACCGCCTCATTGTTTTAAATCCAGATATCATTTGGGACTGTAGAACAAATGTCAGACTTTGATTAAAATTCAAAGAGCCTTTAGAAAAAATTAATCCCTTTTAGATTAGAGGAAAGCTCACTTTATTTGTTAGTCAGTGAATGATTTTTATTTGGAAATGTAGAAAGGTCTTTTTATTATGGTCCTACTTTTGCGTGTAAAGATAAAACAGTTATTGTCTCAGGAAAGAGATATCGTTGATGATTGAAACACCTATATTGCACTTTGATATAAGGTGGCTAACTCCTTTCTGCTGTCCGTCTTAGTATCACGTCAACATTTCTCCTTCAGTTTCCCAGAAAACCATTGGAGGGAAAGGTGTGCTGATTGTCGTTATTATGTTTGTGATCTGTCTGCTCATCGTTGGAGTTTTCATTTTACACAAGTTCAAGAGGTACGTACTTTACTTGGAGGATCGAGACCAAAGCTTAACCAAGAGTCTAAAATCTTAACCCAATTAGAAGAAACTTTTATTTCGGGTGACCAGTTTGCTAGAAGCAGATAATTGGACTCATAATTTGGAAACTCAAGTCTTTGTTGAGTGAGGTTGTATTTTTTTCTGTTGTGACCAGGCTGGACAGAGGACTGAAAAGAATAGAGATATCATTATGCACTACTAAATATTGCCTTCTGGCAGGCAATTAAGGAGCGTATTGACATTGTCCAGTCTGCCAAGTGAGCTAGCGTGTCTTCCCAAACAAGCAAGGTGCTGAGAATGAAGGGTTGAACAAAGAAAATGGAGGTATAGACATTGCATTACCAAATGTCCAATTTTCAGGTTCTGTCTATTTGTCTAACATGGCATGAGGCATTTAGACAATAAATCCACACTGGAAGTGCACTGCATATATATTTGGCCAAGGCAAGTACACCACAGGCATCCAAGGTGCCCACCTAGCATTGTAATAAACAGTCTACATTGTTTGTAGAACACTTTTTGGTGAAATTGGCATACGTCAGTTCTTGAAGGACAATTTTTGTCCCGGAATTGACCAATCAGGAAAAGGTTCAGCCCATGTGTGGAAGTAAGAAAGAATTTGAACCTTCAGTCACAGGCTGCTTCATGCCTGCATTTCAGTAGCTGGTGCAGGCATCAAGCAACCTGGATTGAAGGAGCACCGAGAAGGCTAGTACCAAGGCTCACAAGGATGGGTTGGGGGCATGGGACAGGATAATGAGGGAAGTGCATCTACTGGACCAGACTATTGGCTAGCAGTTTGCCAGGTGACCCTGATAAAAGCAAGTCTGCACGATGAGGTGATTAGGAGGTGGGGATAGGAAAGAGAGTGCAGTGGCTGCAAAAGACAGGGGTGAGAACTCAGTGGTTGAAACCAGGAGATAGGGAGAAGAATTGAGTAGCAACATGGGGGGGGTGGGGTGGGCTGGGTGGGTGGGTGGGGGGGGGGGGGGGGGGGCGGCATGCTTGGTAGTTTGCCAAATGGAGTCTGTCAACAAAAGAGCTCCTAGCTAGCTTTGAAGTCATAGATAATGAATTTCTTGCAATTTAATGTGATTTTTTTAATGAAATGTGTGTCAATTTTTGAAAAAAAGGGGTTAGTTGCTTATATTTGTTGTGCCAAATTTTAAATTTTGTCTGGGAAAGTTAGCTTTCCTTGTGTGTTGTGGCTTTAAGTTTAAAGTGGTTTATAATTGTTGAGCATCCTGATAAATTTTTTCTGATTCTACTTCTAAGTCCAAACACCACATAAATCAACACAAATGCAGCTAATAACATTGCCACATGACTGCATCTCCCCTAATGAAGGAGTTTGTGGGAATTGAAAAGAAGCCCCTAAAAATCAATAATGTAGCCCTTGATAAATCTCACGAATGGCCCTTGAAAAAAATTATTATTTTGATCCCTGATACGCCCCAGCGTTGAATTAATATTTCCTCAACTTAAACGGTAAAACATGTCACTGACATTTGTGATCACCTGCAAAAATGTTACTTGAAGAGATCACCACTTCCATTCAGATTGGTCACAACTTTGCTGTGTTGAGTAGCTGGTGAGATTCTGGACCTTATTTTGCTGATTTTTTTTCATCAGATGACTGTGCTTTGAATTCTGGCAACAACTTTTAGCAGTTGTTGTTTGTTTCGCAGCAGTATTATTTCTCTTTGTTTTGTCTTTGGGGCTGTAGGAAGTAACAGCCGCAAAGAAATCTCGAAAGAGTGAGAGAGAAAGAACACAGGATCACCTAGTAGGAGATAGAAAAAGAGGAATTGCCACATTTTCAGGGAACATTTCCCATACCTCCCTTTGAAGCTCAAACTGGAGTCCAAAACCAGGGCAAGGACAGCACTCCCTACAAATATAAAATTCATCATAGCCCTTAACCATTCAACATGGTCCTTTTAGACCGCACCAAGTGATAAGACCATAAGACATAGGAGCAGAAATTAGACCATTGAGCCCATAGAGTCTGCTCCACCATTCAATCATGGCGGATAAGTTTCTCAGCCCCATTCTCCCGCTTTCTCCCCATAACCCGAAATCCTCTTGACAATCAAGAACCTATCTATCTCTGTCTTAAATATACTCAATGACCTGGCCTCCACAGTCTTCTGTGGCAGTGAATTCCATAGATTCACCATTCTCTGGCTGAAGACGTTTCTCCTTATCTCAGATCTAAAAGGTGTTCCCTTTACTCTAAGGCTGTGCCCTCGGGTCCTAGTCTCTCCTACCAATGGACACATCTTCCCAACATCCACTCTATCCAGGCTGTTCAGTATTCTGTAAGTTTCAATTAGATCCCCCCTCATTCTTCTAAACTCCATCAAGTGTAGACCCAGAGTCCTCAAACGTTCCTCATATGTCGAACTTTTCATTCCTGGGACTATTCTATTTCCAGCTCATTGCTCAGAGCTGCATGAGAGGTGCAACAAACGCTGTTTATTTTTTACATGTCCTTCTCCATGGGTTATTTGAAGCAGTGCGATGTGCATGTTTTCTGGTTTTCCAACAGAACGGTATACTGTATCTAATTTGTTTGTGAAGGTAGGCAGTAGATAATGCAGAGGACTGTAGGAGTTTCTCTCATGCTGCCAATACCACAGCTGTCATACAGCACCACCATGCTGTCACTGCTCTGGATGGGTGAAGAGTACAGGAGTGATATTGTGCTTTGGAATCCAGACCCGCGTCAATATGGTTACCCTTAACTGCCATCTGAAATGGCTCAGCAAATCAATCAGTTACTAAGGTGTCTTACAACCACCATCTCAAGGGCAGTTAAGGATGGGCAATAAGTGCTTACTTTGCCAGTGATGCCCATACCCTGTGAATAATTTAAGGAACATTTAGTGCATACATTATTCCTATTTTATGAATTCTATCGACCTAACTATGGCAGTAATTTGCCTTCAATTGTTTGAGTTTTAATTTTATGTCTTCCTTGTCAAATTTTATTGAATATTTTGTGGAAAGTCCATTGATAAATTACATCCCTAAAGTTTCCTCGGCCTAATGCTTTGGTTACTTCGTCAAAAACTTCAATAATGTTCCCTAGACATGATTTATTCTTTACAAACCCATTTATTGACTTTTTCTTTTTCATTCATACAATCTGATCATTTCTGTTAAGCCAGCATTTATTGCCATCCCTAACTTCCCAGAGACCAGTTAAGAGTCAACCAGTAGATGTGGAGTCACATATAGGCCAAACTAGGTAAGGATGGCAGATTTCCTTCCCTGAAGAACATTTGTGAATCAGATGGGTGTTAACAACAATCAACAATTGTTTCTAACTTTTTAATTTTCCTATTTATTGAACTCAGATTTCACCATCTGCCAAGATGGGATTCAAACTCATATTCTGCAGACTTATTAGCATGAGATTGTGGATTACTAGTACAGTACATTACCACAATGTCACCACCTCCTGACCAATTTTTGCATAATCAATCACTCTATCTTCAATGACAAATTCTAATGATTTCCCATAACAGATGTTAGACTAATAGATCTACGTGTTCTGGTTCTTCTCTCACCTATTATGTTGTTTCTGGATTGATCAATGGCGGTGAAATTAGTTGTGGATCAACAACGGCAAGAGGATTAGTTCTCAATTGATAGACAACATTAGGATTAGTTTAGGATTGCTGTAGCAGTGATTTAAAAATAGCCATATGTCGTAATCTCTTTAGTTTTATCACTCAGTGTGATTCTGTGAGGAAGTGTGAGCCAGACAGAGTGGTAGGAAATTGTCCACTTTGGCTGGAAGAATGGAAAGCACCTATATTAAGGCAATAGACAGTGATAATTGAGTAATCTGTGGGATTTAGGTCTCAATGTACGTGGATCACTAATTTAACAAAGAGATACTGAACACAATTAGAAAAGCAAATAGTATATTAAATTTTATTGCAAAAGCAGTTAAACTATAAGAGTAAGGAAGTCTTGCTACTCTTATGTAGGACATGAGTAAGACTACACCTGAAATATTGTCAACAGTCTTTTTCTTCATACCCAGGGAGGGATATATTTACTTTAAAGTGGATGCAACAATGGTTCATTATATCAAGTATTGGTTGATTCCAAAAGCGATTAGATTGTTTTATGAGGGAAGATTGGGCGTATGTTCTCGAGTTTAAAAGAATAGTAATTGATATAATTGAAGCATTACAAAATCTGTAAAGGGTTTGTCCAGGTAGATACTGGAAGGCTGTTTTGCTGGCTGTTGAATGCAGAACTAGGAGTCACAGCCTTAGAATAAGGAGTTCAACATTTTGGGGAGGAGAAACCTTTTGACTCAGAAGTTTGTGAATATTCGGAATTACCTATCCTAGCAGACGGTGGTTGGACATTCATTGACCATATTCAGGGTTATATGCGTATAATATAGAATGTTATATCTAATATATATAATGTAAAGCTTTGGTTAGTAAGGGAGTCTAGGAATATGGGGATTGGGAGGGAAAGAGGAGCTGATGTAAAGTTCGGCTATGAACTTATTGAATAGTGTAACAAGCTCATGGCACCATCAGGTGTACTCCTGCTTCTGTTTTTTTAAGTCTACATAAATGCTGCATCCTAGGGCCAATGTGGCATTGGAATGAGCTTGTGTAATAGCATAATGAGCTATAGTGGACAATGTCAGAGCTGCCATCGGAGACTTTGTCATTGGCCTGTCCTACTGTAGTGTTCATGGAGCTGATCACTCACTCCCTGGTTGCCCACAACATCTCATTGCCAAGCACAAAGATCCAACAAGAATTGGAACAGGACTCCTCCATGCTCTGTGTCAATATGCCCAGTGTACTGACAGACATCCCAATACACTCAGAAGTCTTGGTGTATTGCTATAAGCTTTCTCCTGGAAGCAGGGCTCTGAAGGTATACAAATTAAGGTGCAGGGATAGGGTATTAGGTTTTCTTTCAGCAGACTTGCT